ATTGGGATATTTTTTTATGGCAAAAATTGGGGCATTTTTTTTATTCTCTCTATTTTCAATCTTAAACTTGGCTATATCATTATTAATATTACTATTTTTGACAAAGTGCATTGCGAAATGAAGTAAATAGATCTTCGACTGATTGAGGTGATGAATAATTTGTGAGGTAGAACTTGCTTAATGAGCGCATGGGCCTTCGACATAAAATCAATCTTCTTGTCTTGATTAAAAACGCGTTATGTTTCGAAAAAATTAGTGAAGTCTTGTGATCGCTGTGCTCATCGGAAGTAATGATTTGTAAATAAATGACATGTCTGCTTCCAAGTATTTTTATTGCGTAATCCTTTACATTAGCTGCAGTGCCAAGAAAGCGGCGTACTTGGCGCTGCATCGCTGACAGACCTCCTCAGATTGCCGTGGCTTAAGTCTTAATATTGACATATAAGTGCGCTTACTGGTAAAAGGTAACTAACTAGCTCTGTAGCTTGCTAAGCGAGCAATTTAGATAACACCTAAAATGCAGTTTTTGTATACGACACAAGAAGTTAGCCTTAGTCATGAGTGGTCCCATCATTGCCTTCATCGATTGCTCCGCGGGTATCGCAGGCGACATGCTCTTGGGTGCGCTAATCGACGCTGTAGGACCGATCTTTGCCTTTGTGTTCGCGATTTCGTACTAATTTTTATATCGTAGGGCGCGCCTGTGGAAGAGATCAAACGCGGACTTGAGTCATTACACGGGATAAAGGGCGAATGGGGGCTTAGTGCTAGCAGAGTTTGGAAAGGGCCTGGCAGAATTGCCGGTGTCAAAGCGAATGTAGACTCAATTTATCATCACAAAGAAGCGGGGGCTCCAACGCTGGGCGAAGCTTTGCACCATCATCATAGCCACAGCCGGGGGCACAATCATGGACATGTTGATGTTACGTACACTTCCGTTAACAGTGAGGATGTAGCTGCTCCAGTCAAATTAATTCATGACCATTCACACGATCACGAACATGGACATGAACATGAACATGAACATGAACATGAACATGAACATGAACATGAACATGAACATGAACATGAGGACACTTTTCAACATGACCATATAGAGCCTATGCGTAATCTAGATGACATCAAGGCGCTAATCTCACACAGCGAGCTGTCTGACTGGGTGAAGGAAAGAAGTGTTGCAGTATTTACACTATTGGCTCAGGCAGAAGCGCACACGCACGGCACATCGTTAAAAGAGATTCATTTTCACGAAGTGGGGGCGATTGACAGCATTATAGACACTATTGGCTCCGTATTGGCGCTAGATCTACTTGGTGTTCGTGAAGTACACGCATCGTTTCTCCCCTTTTCATCTGGAACAGTCAAGTGCATGCACGGAGTCCTGCCTGTTCCTCCACCCGCCACGCTTCGCCTAATGATTGGCATTCCTGTGTGTCCTGCACCTAAAGGGTAAGTTGTTGCTTACGTTGATTGTCAATCTAAAGTATTAAACACGACGTTGAATTGCTCCACGTCAGAGCCAGAGGGGAACTTGTGACGCCGACAGGAATCAGTCTCGTGAAGGCATTGGCTTCGACTTTCGGCGAGCCACCTCCGTTCATTCCTACACATACTGGAGTCGGTGCCGGAACAAAAGAATTTCCTGAACATGCTAACATTGTTCGTGTTGCTATTGGAAGAAAGATTGATCCAATGGCAATTGAAAAGAGCTATGTTAACCCTGCCTTGAGGTCTGCAATAGCTTTGGATAGCTCTTGTTCCTTTTCGATGGAAAAAATCGTAATTCTTGAGACCAACTTGGATGATTTGAACCCACAGATAATTGGCTACGTTTCGGAGCGACTGTTGTCGGACAAACACGCGCTTGATGTATGGAAACAGCCCATTCAAATGAAGAAAAACCGGCCTGGAGTTTGTCTCAGGTATGAATAGCAGGTGTCTTTTATCTCCGTGATGATGGTCTTATGAGTCTTACAATTGAATCTTGTTTTGATTCAGTATTTTGTGTTATCCGGAACACGAGCAAGAAATTTTAGAGACGCTCTTCCGTGAGACGTCAACTCTTGGAGTTCGCCGGTATTCGTCACTTTTCGTATTGTAATTGTCTAGTCCTTGTATATCGGCTCATGCTTTCCAATGTAAATTACTATCATAGCAATACCATGGATCGCGTTTCTCTCTCGCGCAAGTTCGTGCAAGTTTCCGCTTTCGGTAGCTCTGTAGACGTTAAAGTGGCATTTCTGGGCAACGAGGCAGTGAATGTACATCCGGAGTTTGAGCATTGTAAGTCGATTGCTATAAAGCAAAATATTCCATTGCTTCAAGTGATCGACACAGTAAAAACTCTTGCTCTTGCCCAGATGGAATCACAGTCAAAAACATAAAAGGATCTGTAAATAATGAAGTCTCGCGTTTTTTAAAAGCATGAAAACCTTACTTCTCAGCTTAAACTGCTCGTATTTTGTTTATCTCTTGAGCATTCGCCCAATGTCCCTACGCTCTTTCATCAAAGCACCGCAGATAAATGTTGCAAGGCGACCCGGTAGAATGCACTGTACCAACGTAGCAGATAAGTAAGCAAATGACGTGTCGAAGACAAGTACTTCGCCATTAAACATAGCATCCAATGCCACTTTGGCCGAACTTTTAGCATCCGCTGCGATCCCTGGTAGCGTAAAAATCATCGCCTTTTCCATATCTGCCGACTTGCCAAAATTGGTATCGATCGGTCCAGGACACATACACGTGACCGTCACACCCGTCGAACGCAGCTCATAGCTCAAAGCTTGACTGAAATTAGTGACAAAAGCTTTGCTACTACCGTATAACGCTGCCGTCGGTAGCGCACAAGCTCCGGAAGTGGAGCTGATGTTCAACACGCGCCCAATCTTGCGTTCTATCATTTGCGGTACAATCGCACGAGTCACTTTAACCAGCGCATGCATGCCAAGCATCATCATGTCGTCGATATCCTTCTCTTCCAGCTCTGCAAAGTCTTTGATCTGACAAGCTCCGGCGTTGTTGACAAGAATATCGATAACTAATTTCTTGTCCTTGACAAAATCGATAAGCTTGGTAATACCTTCAGTTTTCGACAAGTCACAAGGACAGATAAGCACTTCAGCTGGATGATTCACCATTTCTATCTCCGCACGCATTCGCTGTAGAACCTTCTCAGTACGTGCAGCCAGCACGAGTGAATACTTTTTCTCTGACAGCATGTAGCTCATTTCTCTGCCAAGTCCCGAGGATGCACCAGTTACCAGCGCGTACCGTTTAAGAGTAGGAGTTGTGGGCTCAAACTTCCACAAATGGTAGCGAGTAAGTCCCAAGTCCAGACTCGACACAACAAAATACAGGAAGAGCAACACGCGCACGACACGTACAACCGTCGACGTATCCACAAAGGTTAATACTAGTATCAACACTCCTATCGCATGCACGGGCTTCCACACAACATTGACGCGCTCTCGACGTTTCGAATATCCCGCAGGCATTGTTGCCCGTTTGCCACGTAGTGTAATGAAGAGATTAACGCATTACTTCAATCACATACACCCATATTAATAGGGCCGCAGTTTAGGGTATCTACTTTTTCACATAATAGTTCAAACGAATTATTTAAAACACAGTCAAAAACTTTGCGAAATATCGGTATTTATTATGCTGACGACCTGCACATATTATATTTCTTCAAATTAAGAGAAAATAATTTAAAGGAAGTGTGTCTAAATAGAACTTTTGGATTAGTTCGTTAAAAGTTCTCGGTTCCCACCATACCACTGTGTGTTTGTTTAATGCAGACTCGTAGAGTTAAAGCTTCTCTGCGCAAATTGCAAGTTGACCTCGTTGCACTTTGTGTTACATGTAAATAATTTTGCGAACGAGTCGTGAAGTTACTTGACGATGTAATATGAGAATTTTCGAGTACCTGTACCCGAGACAACTATACAAGCTTGGCAAGCTTATTGTTATCGATGGTTCCAGTGAGAACATGGAGCTGGCGCACCAGATGCCAACTGCAATAACTGCTCGCCAGGAGACGTTCACTACCGTTAAGAATGCGCTGACGAGACACCTCCAGAAGCACCCTGATCGGGCGCCGGCTGAAGAAAAGATGCCGCCCACCATTTGGCCGCTGATGTTGACCATCTAGGTGTTCGAGATCTAGACATCTCCTCTGGATAGGCAGGGTATGGCCACTTTTTCAGTCATGCGTCCGGTTACATCCGAAATTCTTGTTAAGGTTAAGGGAGCAGGAACTGGTGAAGAAACTCCACGCGTTAAGAACTCTTATCACCACACTGGAGAATGGCGTTTGTCGGGACACGGCAAGAGATACCATCCATCATGTTGGGTCTACGAACGGGTGCGGCTCGCACCACCACCTACAGGAAAAGGGTAATGGAGAGGAACCTCTGTGAGCGCACCAGAGGCGATGGATGTCGGTCATGATAAATATAAGGAAAAAGATATTTTAGCAGCCGAGACTTTCATCTATGGTAGCACAAAATATAGCGCGGTGAGTGCCTTCTTTGATTGTGGTGGAGCCTTGTGAAGGTTGAGCTTTTCGGCAAGGTCGTCTGACGAGCTCTTTACAAACAACGTCGTCAAGAGGTAACAGGCTCAGGAACGGTCTACTGTCAAAGCACTAAATTCTATTTTATCTATTGACGATTGTGGACAATGAGAACCATTCCTAGAATCTCTAAGAGGAAAAATGTCCACCATTGCTTGTTGTTGATATCATTGCTCCGGGAGTTTTGAAGCCGTGGAAAGTCTTAATAGATTCAGGAGCGTCGCGCAGCAACGTATCTCCCGAAAATAGCCACCATCGAGGAGCAGAAAAGCCGTTGGCGCGGGCACGGAGCAAGGAAACTTTTCGTGCAAGATATGAAATTGTCCAAATTGTCTAGAAAATATTTCTAAGTGCTTGAAGTACAGCTCGGGAGGCATAAGTGGCAGTGAGTCGCGGTTTTTGGACAGGATGGAGAAGAACAACTTTATGTCCCTCTTCCCAGATTGTATCCCTTCCGAAATGAGAGAGACTAGCTGTGAGTTAATGTCTTCTGTGCTTTGATGAAAGAAGAGGAAAGCGACTGAGTGTCGCAGTCTTCCGTGCCAAAACCGATGAAGTTTATATTGGGCGACTAGTATAATGACCAAGTCTTGAAATTGCGATGGCCTAGTCACGATGCGGCAGTATTGCAGAGTCTGCACTAGCATGTGATGGACTCACGTGATTATGTGACCTTCTCTATCTCCGGCGAAAGCTCATACAAAACTGAAGAAATCATCCTGAGGAGTATTTGCTCGGAATTTGAAGACAACGAAATCACAGTTGGTACTGGGGAGTGAGTTGAGCTTGTCGCTTGCTTTGACTAAATTTGTTATTGACGGATTCACAGAGCGCTGAGAGAAAAAGATGGACAGCTTCCCTCTAATTTTTTTAAGATCGTCTGTTCTTTGTATAGGAACCTTACGACGTAATGAAAAGAGGCACACCACGTGTGTTACTCCTGGAAAGTCGACTGGGACGTAAAATCGATACCCGGAACCAAGTATTGCGCGCGCACGGCAATGGTCCTCACCACAGGAAAAATTTGGCGTCGACGACGCTTTCTTCATGCAAATCATAAGTCGATACTGGCAAGAAAGAGTACATCTTTCCTTTCGGCGCAATCTTTTATCGGAAAAGTTAACGGCCAGTGATTAACTGCTACAAAGATCAAAATCCAGATTCAAGAGCCGATTTCTCAAAGGATATGCTGCCGAACAGAATAGTAGTCTAGCCTGGGTTCAGTGCTATTGTTCTAGTTGATAGTTGGAATCACCTGCTGGTGAGAGACGGCGATGTCCTCTCACTGTGGTGAGTAGCTGGGGCGAGATATTATTGGAGTGGACGGCGATAGACACATCTAATTGAAACAGCAATGTTCAGCCGTCTTGAAAGGCAGCTAGTCACGCCACGTAGCGGCTTTGCAAATACATATTTTGATAATTTATTTGCGCATAGACGAGCAGAGCACGGAAGTCGGGTGTGGCTCCATTGCCAGCTGGGCTTAAGTGCATGTGCTTCAACAAACTATTTCGCTTACATAGACTAGGAAGTCTTTGGCACCGACAAAAATTGTTTTTTTCGGTATTTTATTGGGAGCCGGAGCCCGTGTTCTGATCCCGCAACGATGAAGGATAAGGTCGATTGAGCTATAACTTTGTCTCAAAAGAACTTTATAAAGTACCATCGCAAGGTACATGGGCACGATCACTTGCCCATGATCCTTGCGATGGTATTTGGATGCGGCGGAGAAGGCAACAATTATGGTAAGAACAGAAGACCTGATAATTGCCCTGATTTTGGCCTTTTTTCAAATTCAAATTAGTGTGTCAATGTTATCTGCGACGTTTCATTCTTTGCAGTAGATTGCATTTACTGGAAGCAAATGCCAAATGGGGATTTATGCGTAGTCGCGTTTTTATTTTTGCCAGCTTAAAGCGGCAGAAATGAATCATCCAGTTTATGATTAACATATACCTGCAGTGAAGAATGCCCTTGTCAAATACACTCGCGTAGCTCCAAGCCATTTATGATCAAAACAGATCGAGCATCGTTGCACAACGACGTCGTCACATTTCGCTTACAAAGAATGGCAAGGTTTGGCTGAGTATTTAGTTCCATTAAGTTCTAAATGTTTTAAATTGATGCAGTGGAGAATGCGCTTTTCCATCTATCCGAATACAAACATTTGTGTGTTATGAAAGTGACAGGATGCGGTAATAACTTGGTCGACGTCATGCTTCGAAAACTCTGCGCGGAACGACAGCGGAATTTGCTCCCAGTCGTTGATTCTGCATTGGGAAACGCTGTTCATGTCTTTACTAGATCTACGCTCTATAAATATTGACTTCGTCAACCCCGGGTCTCTTTGACGCCGCCACAAAGTGGCTTTGATCCTACATTGGAGGGGTTGTCGATCAAATTAGACTTGCTATATCGACCCGGCTACACGTCGAAGCCACATCACTGATCTATCTAGTGATCGTGCGTCATGCGCAGGGTACGCGATGATATGGTTGATCACGAAGGCAGATGAAAACAAAACCGATGAAAGGACACACACGAAGACGTGGTACGCAAAAACATTATGGAATGAAATCAGCTTACCTAAACAAACCGTGTCTGTGTGCATAAGACCAAGATACAACCACGCTAGATCGGATACGGTCGTAGCTAAGAAGAAATTGAGTTATAACGGAGTGGATGTCAACTCTAACAGTATCTATATCTATGTCTTACAAAAGCATATCACAAGTTCGATCTTACGAGCCAGCCGATCGTGATGGCCTTGCTTGTAGATAGCAAAGCGTCTCAGCCACCGCTGGGTTGCTCAAAGGTTGTCAGTAAGATAACAAAGTTGGGAGAGCAAATCCGAGATTGGCTCCTCTCTGGCTCGATGAGTGAGCCCACGTGCCGCCACAACCGAGAGAGCTCACGTGTGGTGGGATTGACCTCCACCGGTACTGCTAAACCACAAGCCCTATGAAAAGCCGCTCAAGGCGGACGTATGGATAGTGGGAGCTAGCTTGTTCATTCCTAAAACGGGTGATACGGCGAGTTTCCTTACAAAGCGTCCGAACTGAGCCATACACTTAGTATACTTCCGCCAGCTTCTTGGTACACCCCTCATCAAAGGAACGGATTTTCTCAGTACCTGCTGCTATAAACGCGGACGGTACTCCTGGGGTGCGATAACTAGTGACTTGTGAAAGCGCTAGTGGCGCAACTTTCTCGCAATTGTTTTGCTCTAGTGTGAAAAAAGGCCTGCAAGCATAGACCTAAAGGAGCTCCACACCAGCATGAAAAGTGACTTTGGCGGTTTGAAACCGTAATCACGACGTGATTAAGGCAAAAGTCGACGAGGATATTGCACTTGTAGTAAAGTAAACTGAACTTCTTGAGCCAAGCTCAGTTTGTTGGTAATGAGCTGGAAATCATAGTAGGCCTCACGGTGGTGTGTTGAAATATTTCCTACCTTTGAAAAAGGCAACGGGGAGGTTGGACGCAGAGGTGCCGCATTCTTGGTTATGGGCTAAGCCATGTATCGCCGGATGATAGCGTAGTTCTTTAGTAGCTATTACTGAGTCTGTTCTTGTTGGAAATCATCTGTCGATATTTTGACTGTCGTACTTCGTGAAGATAGCGCTTTTGGCGGGTGCTCACTGAGCCATTCAATCTGTTAAATCCATTGCAGACAGCTTCGAAAAAGCAGGTATAATACAGTCTCGCGAGTGGGGTGAAGATCTGGGCGCAGTGGTTGCTCAAGGAGAGGTTCTTTTGCGCAGTATCTCGCGAAACAATGTAAGAGTAAGTCCAGTACGGTCTTTATGTAAGCAGTGGATGATATAATGGGTTTCGTACTGTACTTGCAACAGGGAAAATACTGTAAATTTGTATGCGTACACCTTAAGCTTTTGATACAGCTGCTTTTAATCATACTACGAAATTCTCCTGGCAGTTAGTGACTTCGTGAATATACATAAATATCGGTAGTTATTATGACTATAGAGCTTCGAATAAAAAGAGCTAGTGCTATTAGCCGTGCAGCCGATAGCATAGAATGCTAATAATATATAGAGGAATGGAAAATTGCATACATTTTTTACTCTTGCCAAGACAGAATCAATTCTTAATATATGTGGAGTAACAGGGTTACACGTACCCTGGTATGTAAGTGTGGATCGCACAAGATTGTGCGACTGTACACTGGTGTGGATTACAAAAGTAAGTGTAAACACAGAGTGATGTGGCTACACCGTAATAAGAAGCCACCAAATTGTGGTAGGAGCGCACAAACCTTACCACTGTGCGTTTGGTAATGCGGACTCTGAAATCCGAAGTTTCTCTTGTAAAAAGTACTAGGCAAAGTTTGTTGCTGTGGCCTACGTCACGTGGAACCTCTGGTGAGCTGAGATATCGATCAAGGCTATTATCAGCACTTGGTGAAGTGGAAGGGAGAATTGCGGGAGATTCAGCTCTAAGTTTGGCACAAGATTTTAGGAATCATTGGCGCTCACGACCTGGCGCAACTTCGGTCTCTATCTCCTTAAAGGAAAAGTAGTGTTGCCTGTTGCAGCCCGCTTTATTTATTAAGTGGCGGGAGTCATTAATCTAGGCTCAAAACTTGGTCGGTAGCTGTTACGGCTGTTGCATGGAGATGAGCGAGAAATTGATAAAAGGGACCGGCAGACGCCTCGACGCCTCGTCGTGTTTGGTCCATCGCAGAGTCAACCATTAGATCGCACTCCACACAAATTTCCGCATCGCTGAAGCTGTCTTTCAAAGTCTAAAGGCAAGTGTCACGGCGACTTTTACTCACGTAGCGCATAAACTTAGTTTGATATTCATTGTCAATCTCGCGAGCTTCAAGTAGAAGTTTATCTCTGATGGAGGATACGGGTTTTTCAAACCGCTGCTACTCCGTATCCTGAAGTGTGATGACCAGTAGGCTGAGAAATTGTGCTTTCGGTGCGGCTTTTTCACGCTCGAAGCCTTCTCGGGTGTTAGCGACAGGATCGAATGCAGAGGAGTGCGAGGGCTTCCGTATCAGCGCGGCAAGGAACTTCAGATAGTTCCAAATTCATTGTTACGACGTGATTTGGGCAAAAGTCAAAGATATTCCTGCTTTGTAGCTGGTGAAATTGGGTACCCTAAGCCAGACCCAGCTCGCTGGAAAAATTGCTAAAGATCTAAGGTTGGGAGTCTGAAAAAATATCCATCGGTGATGAACTATTTCGTGCAGGAGGAGGCTGGGTCGGTGAGTGTCCACTCCTTGGGAAAAGGCTGGGAATGTGTCGTAAGGTGAAGGTGGGGGCGTCAAGTCAGAAATTAGTGAGACTCTGCGACCGCTCTCATCGAATAACACTTAGGCATTCCTAACAGTTAAGTTGTACCGGCGCGTCGGTTGTTCAGACCGCGTCATTTTTCTAGGTTCGTTGAGTTAACTATTTTAATCTGGAATTCCGATGCAAATATGCTCGCTTGGTACCTAACAGTTGGAAGAATGATAACCCAAGCGCAGCATTTAATTGTGAACCTGTCACTTTCGCGCGGTGTTCCAAAGTAAGAAAACCTACAATATGGTTTATGATGTTACGAACAGTAGTTTTTGCGGCACATTTGTATCAAATACAATACTATCTAAAATTAACGAAAAACTTTGGTGGTGTCGTAAGTGACCATTAGTCCGGTGATCACCCACCCGTAGTACCCGAGCTTGAGGCTGCTTAACTTCACAGAGCAGACGGGATATGGTCTCGTTTTTATGAAGAATACGTAGCCGTAAAAAAGAGGCGTCTGAGAGGTACTTGAAGTACATGTGAAAGTAGAGACTATATATTATGAGAAAACCTTTATGTTTGGTTGAATTGATCCAAAAAGCATACGCTTAAGAAAGCAGAGCGAATTAATCTTGGTGACTACCTTGACGCTCTGATCCCGATCTCTGTATGGTTTTTGAATATCTTTGTGTCAAAGCTTTCTTCATTCAAAAAGCACGGCAACCCGTTTGCATCATTATTTTGTTGTCGTTTACTCGTCAAATGCGATCCCAAGGTCATCGAATGCTCCGCCAAGATTGTCAGCGTTGAAGGCAGAATCAACAGAAAATGTGTAATTCTTCCTTCGTCAAAGACAGCCTCGTCAGCGGTTAGTGACCCACGCATGCCGCCGTATACATCATGACAGACAATTAATAGTATTGGTCCCCCTTCGCAACTGTCACAATGCTGACTTTAGATATGGACCATATCTTCTGATATATATTCAATAATTACTAAAAAGTTATTTAGGATACTTAGTCTAATGTGCCTTGTTTGTAATCTTTGTAAAAATCTAACGAATAATTTCTTACACTAATTATCCCAAGGGGAGGATCCAAAATTCAACAATGTCCAGCACGGAAGAGATTGGCAAGAAAGCAGATCTAGGTCCGGAATACCAGCGCGTGCTACCCGAGGCTCAAGCCGTAGCAGCGAGTGGCGATGTCGAGCGCGGATGTGAGATGTTGTTAGTGCTTGAGAAGCAAGCACGGCTGGCCAACGACGTCGCGACGCTTAAGACAGTAGTGGACTCCATCTTGACTCTTTGTGCACAGCACAAGCGCTGGGAAATGCTCAAAGATCATGTTGCACTGCTGACTAAGCGTCGTGCGCAAAAATCATCTGCTATTACTGTCGTGGTACAGCGTGCCATGGAATTGTTAGCTGAGACACCGTCTGACGCTGTCAAAATGGAACTCATCAATGCGCTACGTACTGTTGCCGAGGGCAAGATCTTTTTGGAAAAAGAGCGTGCTACGCTTACTCAGATGCTGTCACGCATGAAGGAGGATCGAGGCGAGATCGACGAGGCCGCCACTATTCTGCAGGAAGTGCACGTTGAGACGTTCGGTGCCATGACAAAACTAGAAAAGACCGAGTATATCTTGGAACAGGTGCGGCTTACACTGGCCAAGAAGGATTATGTACGTGCCAACATCTTGGCAAAGAAGATCTTACGTCGTACGTTAGAAGAGAAGGACTTTCAGGACTGCAAACTCAAGTTCTATCATCTGATGATCGAGTATGACACGCACGAGAACAATACGTTGGAGCTATGTCGCCATTGGATGGCGATCTACAATACGGACATAGTGAAGGAGAACGAAGACATGTGGAAAAAAGCTTTAGAACATGCTACTATTTTTGTCGTGTTATCGGCCTATTCGAATCTTCAAAACGATTTATTACACACGTTGGCTAAAGAGAAGCGGACTGAGAAGGTGCCAGATTTTGCGGCCGTGCTCAAAGTATTTACCACGCGAGAAATCATCGCGTATCCAATGGAGCAAGACGGTGTGCTTAAAAGTCATCCGATTTTTAATGATGTAGAACGTGGTGCCGAATGGTGGAAAACACTTCATACGCGTATAGTTGAACACAATATTCGAGTGGTAGCCGAGCACTACGAGCGAATTCGCCTGCCTCACTTGGCTAACATGATTGGACTGTCGGAAGACGTAGGTTTGGATGCTTTTTGGGTTTTGAAAACATGAAAGTGACGAGGTATCTTGTTTATGCTAGTTGACGGAGAGAAGTATATCAACTTTGGTGAGCGACGGGTCTATTTATGCTAAGATCGATCGTCCGGCCAAGCTTGTATCCTTTCTTAGACCTCTATCACCAGAAGAGCATTTGTCGAATTGGTCAGGTATGCCAATCAAAGTCAACACTGATTTTGTACTTGTTGATGGTGATTATATTTTCATTTTCTATGATGTTGACAGCGGATATTTCTCAGCTGCTACGTTTAGTGGAGACGACGTGTCACTTAGTCAACAAGGAAAACATGATCCACAAAATCTAAGCATGCGAGTGGACTATTTTCACACTGTAGTGGCACTTTAAAGGAATAAACAAAAAGAATACAATTGCACGAAGAGCAACCTACTCATGATTCCTAACATTAGCATGACTGCTCGTTCCTATTAAAGCAGACTATCCTCATCTGCATCATCAAATTGTCCTATTTCCATTGCACTATTCTCCAGTTCTGGGGATACTTGAAGCATTGAGTCAAAATTCGCAGCCAATTGAGCTGCTCGAGCACCATCCACCACCTCATCTTCATTGCAGATCCATCCATCATCGTCATCTTCATCGTCATCCGGATTCATTTCGGCCGACTTGCTGAAAGCCTTAAACAATTCTTGCACTGCACATATAAGAAAGAGTCACATCATTTAGTATCGTGTATGATCGTAAGTGAGCAAATAGCTAATTACGCACATATATTGTCGTCGGTCGGCACAAAGCGCACTTCTGACAAAACGTCTTCGATACTAATTTGGCAATACAAACATGGTTTTGGAAAAGCCAATGGATCTCTACTTATAGCATGAAGCGTAATTGTGTTCATCTCCCATGCGTAACCTACATGTGTCTTCATTGCATCACCCAACCAGATCACGCGACTTGTGGTTACGAACAGTGTACCAACCAACCCGCTGGGTGCCATCGGCTGTGTTTCATCGCCAACATGATTTATGTCACTAATAAATGCATAAATTTCCACATTTTCAAAACTAGCCAAAAGAAATTCCTCATCATCGACGCCAGTGCGTAGTAGTGGCACGCCGTCGTCACTTAGATCCGCAGTAGTTAAGATATTCATTTTGATTACTGGCTAAAAATTCAATTTTTATAATTTCTAATAGTAAAAAGCCAAACACTGAAAGTTTCTATACGCATACATAAATGTTTTTTTTTCTTTACTTCTTCTCTCCAATGACAGTAAATTTCAAAGCAAGTGGCATCTTTTTCGTAGTCGACATGCGCATTCGAAGGCGCATCATAATTGACAGCGAAAGCGACTCCATGTCCACAGTTTTCTTCGGTTTTAAAGCCAAAGTTTGATCTGCAACGTACAAAATTTTCGTATTCTTCTGTGGTGCTGGCAGCTTAATTGAAAGCTGGGAGGTTTTCACATTCCACGATGCCTTTAAATTTAATTCTTGAAGAGAGAGTCGCTGCTCGAGTCCAAGTTCAAGAATGTATACCGTAAAACTTTTCTGTCCCATACTTAAGACAACACCAGTCACTTCAATATCGCCATGGTGCTGTACGTATGCACACAGAAAAACTTTATCGCACTCTGTCTCGGCATGCTTAGACGTCATTTTCTTCTCGTTGCAATTTTGCGCGACAGAAGTGAGATCTACCATCCTAGGCTTTAAATTCTCTGCATCAAGAGCTGGCGAGCTCAATAGACTCTCCTGAAGCAAGCGGTGAACCACAATATCGGCATACCGACGAATTGGCGATGTAAAGTGGGTGTAGTACGGAATATTTAGAGCATAATGACGCCATGAATCCGCAGATGCACCATTCCCAGCGACCATGTATTCAGCAGGCTTCATGGGTTTGATGATCAATGCTTGCGCGATGACAAATAATGTTTCACCGTGGTCGTTTCGAACTCGTTCCAGGGAATCTGTCAACTGTTTTGAAGAGCTTCCATCCAGCATAATATTACTCTTGTTCAAATTGTCCAATGCTTGTTCCATTGCCCGAGGGACTGGAGGAGGGTGATGACGTAAGAAAGCGAGAGGACCGTGAGCACGGAGTAATTGCTGTGCAACGAGATAATTTGCTAAAAGCATATACTCTTCTACAAGTCGATTGCTGTCCTTAAGCTCATAAGGCATAAATCGAGTCGGGTTACCCTTCGCATCCAGCGAAAACACAAGTTTTACATCGTTTAAACATACGGCACCTGTTTCAAACCGCAATGCTCGGCGGTTAGCTCCAATGCTCCACAAGTCCTTAACACTCTGTATGACAGTCGCACAAGTAATATGAGAATTTGCACCAGAAATTGGTCGTCGGTCCTCTTCCCACTCGTCCAAATGTTCACTACATATGATGCCATCAAGCATCTTCTGAGCGGAGCCATAGTCAAGCTTACAGCATGAACGAATAACTGACTTGCCAAACCACGGTTTGGCACAGCTAGAAAGGGTGCCGTCTACATTCATCTGCCACACGACGGAAAACGCAAGACGATCGACTTGCGGCTGCAGTGAGCACAACTTTTCACAAAGAATGCGGGGTAGCATCGGCAGTACTCGATTAGCGAGGTATACACTGGTTGCTCGAGATCGAGCTTCTTCGTCTAGCAATGATTTGTGCTCGACAAAGTGTGTCACGTCTGCAATGTGCACGCCGATCTCAAATTTCGTCCGAGACTCGTCAAGTGCACGAATGTGCAGCGCGTCATCCAAATCTCGAGCATTGTACGGATCGATGCTGAAAATTTGAACATCGCGGAAATCTCGTCTATTAAGAAGCTCTTTTGTAGGAATTTCCCACTTTTCGCCATTCGTGCCGTACTTCTCGTCAAGCTCTTTCAAAATGGCGCTGCTAAAATCAAGTGTGTGCGCATGCAGGCCATGCTTGGATAATATTGCTGAGATACCAGTTTCAATGCCTTTATACTCACCAACCGTCTTGACAAACTCACCCATGGGGCTTTGCTGTTCAGTTGACCACGCCGTCACTCGGCATATGCACAGCATCGTTTTGGAATACAACACTGGTCGACTTATAAATTCGTCCGGGAGCTGTAGTCTTGGAATACGTATGCGTCTGGGTAGTCGCTGATCATCCGAATTAAAGTACGCGTAGTTGTCACTACTTGAAAGCGGTGACTTCATGTTTTTCACCTTGGTGGCGGGCTCTAGAGAACCAACAAACCCATTAGAATTGCCTTGCGCAAGTATACACACAACAGACGCTGTCGGTCGGCGACCAGAACGTTTTATGCACTCGTTCCGGAGCTCCATACGCTGCTTAAACACGTGGGTACAAGCTTCTTCAGCAGTGCGCTTGAAAAAGTCTGCTTTAGTCTCCACGTCAGGTAGCCACAGAGCGTGCAACGCAGTCTCATCCACCGCACCATTCGTAACAACTAGCTTCGAATTGAAAGTCATTGTCGCTTTTTGATCGCCATCACCATTCATTTTTTTCCATTGAGATGCTGGATGCAATCGAATCGCGACTAGATCACCGTCGAGTGCACGATTACGATCCTGCATGCCCACAACTAACACATCCATCGCCAGCCCATCAATTGTGATGTATCCATCCATGCGGTACATCGCGTTTACGCGAAGTTTGCCTTGCAAGAGATCGCCTGTCGATAATTCTCGAAGAACCACATCATGGTCCAAGTAATCTAAGTAAGCAAACGCCTGATCACTGCTACGATTCTTCTTTTTGGCTGACTTCGAAGAGCCTTGCTCCGACCTTTTTGATGAGGCCAAAACTTCTTTATTTTCTACATCAACCGTTTGTTTTTTCTTCCTTGCATTCTTCTTGCTGTTTTTATTCTTTGAAGAATCACGAGCGCTATCCTGAGTCTTACTGCTCGCTTGGTCATCGATGTGTTTCTTTTTCTTGCTTTGTTTGGGCTTCCCCGTTTCATGCACAATGACAGCAGACACACTCACATTCGCTTGCTTTTCGCTCCTAGATTTCTTCTTGATTTCCTCCTTTTCCACTATTATCACTTCCACTCCAGAATTCTTCACGTCAACTGTCTCTAATAGCTTCTGCGCTTGCCTCGCTTTTCGCGCTGCCTTCTTCGTCTGTTTCGAAGTTTCCATCTTCAGCTCTTGTTTCTTAATTTTGCGTGGTGACGTTCCAATCCGAACGCTAGCGAAACCTTCATCCGTAGACACAATCTCCAATTCGCTCTCTGGATCCACCAATACAAAGCCTGCACCACCAAATGTATCTATCTCCTCGTCCAGCTTTCCCTCCGAGCTCTCATCATGCCCTACGATCGCATCCATATCCTGTTCCGTCCTAACATCATTTGGATGTCGCTTCTTGCGTTTAGGCTTAGACTTGGTGCTTTTAAGCTCTGTCACGGAGACTAAAGTCTCAGTTTTGCTTTTATTCTTGCCTTTGCCTTTCTTTTTACTCTTAATTTTAGGCTCCTGAACTTGAGCTTGGGCTTGGGCTTGGGCTTGACCTTGACCTTGGGCCTGTGCTTGGGCTTGGGCTTGGGCTTGGGCTTGGGCTTGACCTTGACCTTGGGCCTGGGCTTGGGCGTGGGCTTGTAATTGAATTGTAGCTTCTTCACCCAGAGCTTCTTGCCATGACAACTTCACGCGACTAGCCATGTTTCCCTTCTTTCGACTTTTTCCAAGTTAGTTTGGCTTTCCTAAAGCTGCCGAGAACAATCACTCCAGATAATAGCACTATCAAACATACTAATTTATCGATGATTTACTTGTTTTAGATACTGCTCGCCTAATGATAAAGTGACGTCAAATAGAAATAAAAGATCCCAAAAATAGAAATGGATACTAATCTGACAGCGTCAAAATAGATTACGGTGCAAATCTAACGGAATTGAGACTTTAAAACCAGTAGACGACCATCGATCGCGTCTACTTCGACATCGCAAATCGTACGTAAAATGTCCTTGAGCAACGCTTTATCGTTGTCGGTAATAATTAGTTTTTTCAATTTGCGAAGCAGGTCACGTGTTCGCATGCGTCCACCATATCGAATCAGCTCTTGCTGCACACCAGCTTCCGTTAATTTCTGTGACGACGCAGCCGTTGTTTTAGCAGCTTTTGTGGGTGTATCTTCTTTTGAACGACTATCATCTTCCTTGCGCTTTCCAGTGACACTATTACCAGTTGCTGTTATAGCCTTTCCCTTTCCATTCACGTCTACAGCATTGCCTTCTACACCTCCAGCTCCAGACTTGACTTCTATCGGAACATTGTCTCCAACCGCAGTAGAGCGATCACGTATGATGTTTCCACCTAAATCGCGCTTAATCACATCCATATCCTTTGCAGTGAAGTTGTCATCCTCCTCGTCATCATCATCATCGTCTTCCTTTTCCTTCTGGACTTCCAGCATCTCTCCACTCTGTGCGCGCTTAAGCAAATCTTTCATAGCTTGTCCTGTTTCCGTTAACTTTCCTGTTCCTTCCGGATCTACTTCAAACTCGTCCTCATCCGAATCTGACTCCAATCCTTGAGGTTCGTCATGATGGATCTCAGCATCGCTTTCATCGTCATCGAATTTTTCATCAAAATCTCCTCCATCTTCGCCGGTAGCTCCTTCGCCAGCACGAGTCTTAGGCCGCGCAACACGCCGAGGACGCGCTTCCGACGTGCTTCCAAAGATGTCATCACCGTCACTTTTAGCTTTAAGAGAGGCTGATGATGATGAGGCCAAAGCGCCCGTACGGACACGAGGAGCACTCACAGTATCCCCTCCCGTGTCGTTTTTGTCCTCCCCTGCGAGCTTGTGCTTCATCAGCCAGCGCTCGACGGCACGTTTCTTTTCATTGTTCATTTCCTCGGCCTCCTCGAGCGTAAGAGTGCGATAATTTAACGGCTTCTTGAAACGAAACCACTGCTCAACAGGCATAACATTAAATTCGTCATTGTGACGATTTTTGACCAGCAGCATGTACGTGGACGACTGGCCACCCTCGAACGTGCCGTGGAATTTGTTTTTTCCCTCACTGTCCTCAATAACCCAACCGGCCGTGCGATTATCTTTTCGACGGCGCCTGCGACGCTTACGCAGTGCTGGGTCAAAGCCCACCGGCGCATCGTCTTCCTTCTCTTCTTCGTCCACGCGCTCTGGTTCTCGATACATCATGACGGGCTGCGGACACGAGCTAAAGCGCGGAGGATTTGGCACATCAAAACGTGCGATATTGTAGCGTTTAATTGACGGCGTTGCTCGCAGCACAAGTGTTTCCATCTCTGCCCCAGAAGACGTGGTAGAATTGCGAGCGGCAGTCGGACGGCTCATTGGGAATTCTAAAATCAAGATTTGTGATCAAATATTACTTCGTAGATATGACTAATTAAATAGCATTAAGAAAACATGAGATTTAACAAACCAAAAAGTTATCTGATGGATTCGTAGGCAAGACAGCTTCTGATCAATTGACACCAACTTTCTTCTTCAACACGAAAAGGAAAAATTACGGCTATAATCAAATTTTAAATGGATGCTTTCAATCCAAGTTGACACCTTCGTGTTGTGAGCGCCTTGCGTGCAGAGGTGCCAAGGTTAGGAGGTTGACCCGGGCTGAATCGCACAACTTCAACCGCGTTTACAAAAGTGTAGTCACCATGCAAATAAACACATAGACTGGTAACCACTTCTTTACGATCGTGATACGTTCCTTTGCCCTCATGCCAACAGAGAACACTCAAATGAGTTGACGTGAGCGGAGATCGAATAAGTCACCATGGTACCCAGGTGTGCACTTCCGGAACGACATTGCCACTTCATGAACAAAATTTCGACCTCGAGACGCGCAGAACGAAGCGCTCGCTAACAAGGAGCAGTCGGAGCTTTTGCAGATAGCCTTGAACGGGATATCACAAGTAAGCAAGAGCTGCATCGCTTATTTGAAGCGGCAGTTCAAGACAGCTCAAATGTTAAAACATTCAAGAGAACACTCGGCCAAAATCTGAGCAGAGTAAGAGCCCCAAGATGAGCGAAAATTTGACGAAAACCAGTTATTTCTGATTCCGTTGCTGAACACCGCCATGATGTCTCTCGGCGGACCGGAATGAGAAAAAGCGCTGTTTGCACGCGTCAACACAACCTTTCAATATCTCTCTAGAAACGATCCAGCAATCCGTCGACACATTGGTTCCTCCTTGCTCACAAGAAAGTCGATGGATCAGACAGCAACCGGATCGGCACAACGGCACAATCAAGAATCACTTTTGCCAGCGATCATACATTGATCACATCGACCGGAGCAAGGATACAGCGGGGCTGCCGTAGCTTTGCGCTTAGAGGAAGCGTAATTTAGGTCATCGACCTTACGTTCTTCACAAGAACCAGTACGAGTGTAGCGGATCGCAATCCGCTACCTCCAAGAGTAGTAAGAACCTTAACTCAAGGCTAATAATCTCTTCTGTTTAAAATGTAAAGTGTACTTATTTGTTTTATCTGCGGCAAAGCCGCCTAATTTTATATGTATAGATTTTCCTGAAAAAAATCTAAATACATGCATAATTACTGGCTACCCAGCGCACGTACCGAATTCTTATTTTTGGTGCAGTCACACCATGCTCATCTCGTGTGACACACACCCCTTGTTACCAGGGTACGTGTAACCCCGTTACAAAGGACGTGGATAAGGCGAGTACTACCGCGGACAGCGTGGGCGTAATGGGATTACCCGTTCGTATACACGCACTTACTGAGAAAGGCTTAAACCAGTAGACACGCTTCACCGCGTGTTGCCCACTTCCAGCGAGCCATTGATGTACGTGAACGAGGAGGAAATGGTCAAGCAAAATATTTTTATGGCCAATAAGTCTTGAATCTTCCCTAAACTGATACGTGGCTTCAACTCTAACATGACAGAATTAAGGAATATACAACTATGCAGAATTTACAACCATTTCTACACGTGACCCATAGAGTCAACCCCGACTGAAAGTGGGTTTACCCATATTCTCTTCGAACTTTAGGCGACTCTGAGTCTCAGTATTTGCGATCCCACATAGCGCTAACGACGAGCTCAGAGCAAACCGCGCCTCAATCCGAGGATGTGAAGGCGCCTTCGCCACCATCGAACTAGGGTAATGCTCCGATTTTACGTCAAAAAGCGCTTCCGCACGTTGAGCCAAAAACTGGCACCTTGGGCGGATGACGACTGTTCAGATAACCAGTGTATTTGCGCTCCCGCGAAATTGATCGACGCCGGGAATTTCACGACCGACGTGGTGGCAGTTTGACGAACTCATTAATCGATTAAAAGCTCTAGTGATGGCTCGAACCGCGTATTTCCGCGCCAACGTACCGATTATATTATACGTGCTGGTGCGGGTGTGTATCTGTTCTTGTTGGGATAAGTAGCTCATGTCGATTAGTCTGGGATCCAGATGGGGGGTCCAAATTGAATCGCATTCATCCCGTTGAATCGTCTCCAGGAAAGCTTGGTATACATCCTTCATGTTGCAAATAGTTTCAAATGATTCGTTTGTTACTTCTGCGTCGTAGGTTCTCGTCTTACTGGTATCATGTTTATCCGCAAGCTTGCATGAACGATGAATATTAAGACACTCTGTAGTCTGATCACAAGAGGCAAAGATCCGTAGCAAGTCTTCGCCACTTACGAACGCGCAACCGCTCGTGTGGACAACTGTCTGGCGTAGAGGCATTCAGAGATCAGTATCGAAGACGCATTGGTACCTGTATCGTCAAAGGAAGTACCTCACGATCGCAGTTTGGGGTGAAGGCTTTATGTGGACTGTTTGCTGCTGCCGTGAGGCTAATACAGTACGGGGAATCGCTCGACGCCTTCACAAAGGACAACCTCAAGTTATTGATGCTACTGAGCGTCGACAGATAAAGTTAATTTTTTAAAATATGCGCGCCGGTGAGGCGGAGTCTGGATATCTGTTTTTTTGTTTATTTTCATCTTGCTTGTTGTCATTATCTGAACCTCCAGCTAAGAAAGCGCACCAACGAGACAAGTTGTATCGGATGTGCGATGCATGATATGTGAGCAATATATTCTGCTCAAAGCTTTCCCTTCCCGTCACGATTCAGCACTGCACACTTGTCCCTGACAAAATTCCTAGCGTCAAAAAGCTCTTCCAGTTTCGCGCCAATTTGATCGTCAGTGTTGCTTTTCGGAAAAATTATCACGCCGTGAAGATTGCTGTGAGGCTTGAGATCTTTGTCGTCTAAAACGTCAAGCTCATGTATCTATGAGCACCGCGGTCGGTCCAGATGTCTGTCGTGAGGCAAAAGTAGCTGGTCTAGCTTGTGTAACCTTTCACTCATGTTTTTGTGTCGTTTGGTATACCTTCTCGAACCTAAGTTCGACAAGAGAAAATATCATTGATCTAACCAGAGTCATTAAGAAGATATACATATTTTCAAAAGCTTATCGTCATGGACAATTGAAATGGAGCGCTTTTGGTGGGCGATCTACAAAGCGAGGGCCGTAAGAACTGGCTGCTTTTAACCACAGTGAGAGAGATCGAGCTGGTCATCGATCGCGACAATCGTTCAGACGACTTCATTATTATTCCTCATCTCAGGTTTGAATGTCACATATACGATCACCAGTCGATTGTGTTTTTACGTCATGGGCTCCACGACGGTATTGTATCCAGGGCTATTAGTGAGAACGGTATCGCAATAAATGCATCTGGCTTAACTTGCCATGATTGCAGCATTAATCTTACGGTACTTTTTTCCAGAATATATACGATTCTGTTTCTGTACATTGTTAACGAAATGTCATATTTGTATTCTTTTCACGCCTCTACTATGGGTAAACTCATCATTTAAAGAAAGGTTTAATTGTGCGTTGAACATTGAAAAATCGGTCATGGGATGGTAGCTGACCTGATATAGAATGTACCCTAGCCGCGTTTTGGCAAAATCAATCGCTGAAATAGTCAGACAAGACATCTCTTACGATTTGTGCAATTTATAAAAAGCTTCAAAGGTTTCGATCTGTCGCACAAAACACATAATAGTAAACGATTTCGAACAGAATCGAAATATGATTCTTCTAATGTTATCTCATTTTTAAGAACTGGTCCGATGTACAAATCAAGTAATCTCGCGTGAACACTGCCTCTTTACTGTATGACAACGAATGCCATCCAGACACTAGATCGATGCAATGCCCTGATTTGAATGCCGACAATAGCTAATTGCTTGTTCAGGCAGCTGAGGGTATAATCCAGTTTTCTCCTTCTAAATCCGGGACCAATGACGAAGCTAGAAAGTGTACTTCAAGAATAAACGTAATGATTCGTTTAGTGTTTTGTTATAATACTTTGCCATTTGCCACCCCCCAACGTATAGTATGCTCCAGCCAATTCGTTGCAAACAGTAATTGTCTACTTAAAATTCTCGTAGGTGTAGTAGTGTGACATCGACCATACCAACTTAACTAATAAAATCATACTTTAGGCTAATGCGTCGTAAGTTTTTCGAGAACTGGCTTCGCATCTGACTTATCGAAATATCCATTTTACAGAACCACTTTATGTACCTGTTACAGCAATGCTCTTCATGGCACAAGTATGTACAGCTCCACACCACAGCGAGCTGGGCGGCGATCCTGGGAAACGAATTCCGGATTCATTTAACTGGCGAGTTGGTAACATGCCTACATTTCTGCCGAATGAGCTCCAAAACTTCGAAAAATTCAACCATAAATGTATCGAAAATTGGTTTTCGTGATTATCTTGTTGGCTATAGTGTGGGTGTCTACATTTCTTAGCTAGATCTTGACGAAGTTGTACCTGTTCAATTTAATCCATACTTCAGATGTGGCAGCGCGTCAAGCTCGCGCTCTTTATGCGTGGCTGCACCTTCACAAGAAGCTACTACGTGGTGGGACTGCCAGTAGTTATTCATTTAGTTTGGTTCTATTATTTGAAAACCTTTAGATTAAGATAGAGGTGGTTCTGCCGCAAATAAAACAAAAGAAATACAATTTACAATCTAAACGGAAGAGTGTGTTTGCCTAAGGTTAAGGTTCTAGGTAAGCGGATTGGGATTCGTTACACTCATCCTGGTTCTAGTATAGAATGTAAGGTCGGTGGCCTTAGCTTAGCTTCCTCTAAGCAAATAGTTACGGTAGCTCCGCTGCACTTGGTAGCACTTGTAGTCAATCGACACCTGATTCGTTACGACTGATCCTCTGTGAGGATGGATCAATTTTCCCATTTGCCCCAGAGCATGCAGAACGGGCTCAAGAAGCTGATGTCCCTGCTTGGCACTAAGGGTATGCAACACCTTTCTTCGCAAGAACCTGAAGCGATAAGCGCGCACCTAGAGGCGTCTTCAAGCTATGAAACTGCTCTGCTAGAGCATTTTGAGCAGAGGATGGCGGCGGTCGACTGTGTCCACGAACCCAGCGTCGGCGACAGATGACTCCTCCCGATCCGGGCCGCTCATGGTGAGCGTTAAGACCATATAGGGTAAGGATAGAGTTAATCTACTCCATTGCATAAGAGAGGCTGAGATGGCTATGGTAAGTATGGAGTCAATCTCCTGTATTCGGTAAATGATGCTGAGGTGGCTATGATTAAGATGGAGTTAATCTCCTGCATTGGGTAAGAGAGGCTGAGATGGCTATGGGATCCGCCATGCTCCAGAATGAGCAACAGCGCGTGGCGCTAGCTATCTTCAAGCACGGCGGTCGTGCGCGAGAATGGGCACTGACGTGCGGTACTTCGGCTAAAGCGGCGTTTCCCATCTGGGCGGAGCTGAAGCTGCAGCTGTTACGAGTGTTCTCGATGCCCAACCAGGCATATCGAGTGCAAATGCCTTTTTGTCGCCCGACAGGTAAAGAAGGAATTGGTGACTTTGTCCAAGAGTCGCGTACTCTCATAACCGGCCGATCCCCTCCCCGAGGCGGTCACAGTGATCGTTTTTATGGAGGGCCTTCTCACTGGCGTGACCAGAAAGGAAGTCTTTCATGTGCATCCTCTTCTTTTGAAGAAGCAATGATTGTGGTATTGAATGCCACATTCAACTTTAAGTCGGTACGACTTGGTTGGAATGCACACCCTCAGAGCTCGTTGAGCGGGCCTGAGCCAATAGATCTCAACATTTGCTGAGAAAGAGGAGGGAGAGCTTCGAGCTGCCGAGCAGCATTTGAACGCACGACGGTGTTTTGTTTGTGGAGCCACTCGACGCCTTCAGAGTGGTTGTCTTCTTTGCAAGGTGCGTAACGTTTCGTCGAGCCGACGTCCCGCTTCTCACCAGTCTGGTTTGTCGCGGGGAAACGGGAAGACCCAGTAGGTTCGAAGCGCGCTTCTCGGCAGTGGCCTGGGAAGCCAGAGGGTCATAAGCAGAGCTTAAGCTATGGCCCTGAGCCGCAAATAGGTAGAGGGCAGCAGGGCGCAGCCCCAAAGAGCTCCGTGCTCTTGAACACGAAACGTGTAACCAAGCCGGGCTTACTGGTCGTAAAAGCGACCGTGAAGGGCTTTGAGAAGCCATGGAAATTCCTTATCAATTTCTAGGCCTCGGGCAATCATGCTCGACACTCCACGATCGAAGGAAGTCTGCTATAACGTTGGGGACTTGTGCCACGGTGCCGAGAGTCTCTGTCGACCTCGAAGTCAAGCTTCTTGACTTTGACAGCGTGAAACGCCGCTTAGTCTTAGACTTGGACTCAAAAGATGACCTTATCCTTGGCATGGCATGATTGGAACACCATGAGCCATAGATTAGTTAAGGGTCGAAGACCTTGAGCGCTACACGCAGGTCTCCTAGTGGAGCTTTGGTGAGTAAGAACCCGCCTCTGCTAGGAAGCGGAAGCGCTATTGGAACAGGGACGGGGCTGGAACGTCCGTTCGCTGCATGCCAAGAGTGGCATGGCCGGCCAAGGGCCGAGGCATTGAGGGCAAGGCCCAGTGATGCACGGGGAGTGGCACGTAACCCAATGAACACTGCTCACGTTACGAAGCTATTGCTGCTTACCAATAGTGGCAAGGTCGGACGAGGTCCGAGGCATCGAGGGCGAGGCCCTAGTGAGGCGCGTGGAGTGTTACGTAATCCACTGAGCACTGCTCACGTTTTGAAGCAGTTGCTGCATGCCAAGCGTGGCATGGTCTGAGGCATCCTGGGCAAGGCCTTTCTGATGCGCGTGAAGTGACACGTCATCCACTGGACGAAGACTGCGGAACTAGCAGCTCTTTGTCGGATGTTGTTAATAACATCAAGGCTCAGTTTGAGCAGGGAGTGGGAACACTGGACGTCGCTGAGTATGCGCGTTCCCCCTGGTCTTGAAGAGATGTAGAACCTCAAAAGATAGAATAAGGCGATGCCCTATGTTAACAGCGAGACGCAGGACGTCTAAACTGATCCAGGGTGTCGCTCCCGAAGACGGTACCACACAGCTATATACCCTTGTCAACGTGAGAGGAAGACGGCGACGTCACCCTCGAGGCTATTTCCGCGGTGGGTGCTCTTCTTGAGCTGGACGAGAGGTCGTTCGAAGAGTCTGGCGGTGCCTTGAAGGCAGGCGACATAGCCGAAGTGACCGAAAGAGGAGATCAACTCATCGTCGCTTCTGGATGAAGCTGTCCTGGAGGACACCAAAAGGGTGCTGAGCGCACGAAGGAATCTTTGATGCTGAAGTAGGATCCATACTATCCTTAATTGAGGGGGGATTCAAGACGCCGCCTCCAAAGACCCGCCGTCGCTCCTACCTCCGGACCGAGATGTGCGTCGTGAAATTGACCTGATTTCGGGAACCAAATACTTCGTAACGCGCCAACGGCTCCTGCCGAATGAGCAGTGTGACGTCATTGACACCATCTTCCGTGCAAAGAACGACGCAGGAATGGTGCGTGAGAGTAAGTCTCTATATTCGACACCCACTTTTTTTTCGGAAGCCGAACAGCAAGTAGCGTATCATTCACACTGATTATTTGCAAAACGCTTCCACTATTTCAGCACTAACGACGATTCCTAGAGAGGATATTCTCCAGAACTATATGACTGGCTGTACAAAGTACGGCGTACTCGACTTGGCCGATCAATATTACCAATTGCTCATGAGAGCGAGTGATATTTTGCTGGTAGCGATGAGTACTCGGAGTGGCATGCTCTGGGGGTGGCTGGTGATGCCCCAAGGGTTGTCAAACGCACCAGCAACGTGGAATCGTCTTGTGACGCAGCTGTCCAGGCCTCATCAGGCGTATGCACAGGCATACTTGAATGAAATCTTCGTCCACAGTCGCACGAGGCACAAGAGGACGATTGTACAGAACAACATCGTCCGTTTATAGCGGTGCTCGAGTGCATGCGCACGAATACGCTGTATGCTAATACATGTAGGTGCATCTTCGGAGCTGGAGAAATCCCCTTTTAGGGTATTTTATAGGGTAAACGTGGCCTTCGAGAAGATCCCGCAAGCGTCAAGGCCATTGTGGACTGGCCGATTCCATAGAAATAATAAGGATTTGCACATGTGGCATGTCCTCGCCAACTACTTGCATAAGGATAGCGAGAATTATGCGGAAAGAGCACGGCCATTGTCGAATCTCCGTTGGAGGGTGCTGTTATACTGAGCATCGGGAGGCTTTTGACGGGGATCGACAGCCTCCTTCATCCACCAATACTGCATGAAGGTCTGTTGCCAGACCCCGATCGTCCTTTTAGTACACCTATGATTTTTTCATCGGCTGTGCACTGCGACAAATAGACGTTGAAGGGCGAGATCGGGTGGCCACGTTCGAATCTCGCCAGCTTAAGAATGTGGAGAGGAACTACCTAGTCAGCAACAAGGACATACTTGAAGTATGCACTTGTCAAGGTCAGGGTCCACTGCTTGGCTCCAAGCCGTTTGCGATCTGCACAGATCATGCATCATTGCGCACTGCGACTTAGTCACCTCACCTCTCGCAGAGGATGAGCATGTGGCTCTCATTCTTTGCAGGTGAAGTATAAGCTAGGAAAGGAGAATGCTTTGGCTGACGCAATGTCACGCATCACGAAGTCCGGACTATGAGCTTGCTCATGCCATGACGGTGACGCCGTCAGTGACTTATTTGATCTGTGCTGCATACGCTTGTGATGATATATATACGTAGCGCTCCTACGGGCTCACGGGAGCAAGGAGTTTGGAAACTCGGATAAGAAGTTGTCGTCGCGATTGCACGCACGGTTGCACCGTTGAATAACGGGCTGCTGTGTTATAGCACCGATTCGACGGATACGCCACGACTTGTGGTTACTCACGATGAGGATTTGAATTAACGTAAATAACTATGAGGCCCACGATATCCCATTCAGTGGTCATCTCGGTCGTGTACAGCTCTGTGAGTTGCCACTACTGGTAATACAAGCTGTACAAATAGACGAGCACACGTATGAGACGTGTCCAAGGATATAGCCCTCGTCAAATGCGGCGGCGCCGCTGGCCAGTATACCGGTACCCTCCGGGTGTTGGTAGTCAAAGCGTATGGACTTTGGGTTTGGCCTGCCGAAGGAGTCGGCTAGCAACTCCGGTGTGGTGGTTTTTGTCGACCATTTGAGCAAGATGGATCATCTTGCGGCGGTGCCAGACACCATCCACGGTGTGGGTACAGCGACGCTGTTTGTAGTTCGTGTCTTTCGACAATATGACTCTCGGAGTCAATCGTCTGGCAGAGACCCACGATTCACTGGGGAGTTTTAGTCGACAATCTCCAGGTCGCTGAGCACCAAGTTGACTATGTCAACAGCAGACCATCTGCAGACCGATGGTCAAACTGACCGCGTAAATCACGTCGCTGAGACGCGAAGGGCGTCTCAGCGTCTGTGCATGAAATGCCGAGGCGCTGGAGCGCCATGCTGCCTCTTGCGGAGTTCGTTCTGGACAATGCAGTGCATGCGTCTGCTGTTCTACGAGAGCTTGCTCTTTTATCTTCGCGTCCTGCTGACGCCGCCATTCCTGGCTCAGGGTTTGGCGGATTAAGAATAACTAAGCGGCTAGCTGATGTCAGCCCTCTCGCTGTGCGTAAAGGAGTCGAAGACTTACTGTCTACCAGACTGAGCATCCTACGACGTGCTCGCAGAAAGAATATGCAGTCGAAAGAATCAAGAGAAGTGTTGCAAACAATGAGGTTAGAGACTTTTTTCAATGCAAAAAGCATTCCTTCACATACAGTTTCTGCTGTCTAGAAGTCTATTGGGCCTTTTTAGCTTGTGGCCAAGCGGGGTCTTGTGTATACTCTAAACCTTCCGGGAAGGATGCGCACTCACCCGGTGTTCTATATGGGCTTACTTAAGCTGTATCGGGATCCGACACAAGTAAACGCGGAAGTGTTGGCACCGGGGCGGCGCCCACAGGTGCTCGACCACCTAGAAGCTGATCCAGCAACCGGTTTTGAGCACGGAGTGCAACGATTTCCGTTTCCGACGGCGCAAGGCGCTTCACCAATGCACGAAAATCAACTCGACGGCTAAAGGTCGCTCCGACAGAGCGCGATTATCCTCTACGTGAGGGAGTCGGTTCATAAAGTGCTTCAAACTCTCGACGACTTCCGTACAGCAGTACGCGACCTCAGCATGATGCTCAGCGGAGCCACGATGTCGACTGTCTTGTCATCAAGAGCTCGACGCGCGGAAATATATGCTCCATCCATGAGATCAGCCTTTTAATGTAAGCCCAGGCGTTGGTTTGTTATACAATCCATACACCATGTATCCTATGAACAGAAGTGTCGCCGCCGCTGATTATCGCCAGTGGCATTACCTTCCTGCCATCGACTTTGGTGGTCAGCACAACTTTTATTCTCATAGAAACAACTCAGTGGTTTTCAGCAAAACGTGACGTAATCCAGTTGTAGCCATTGTTGTGCACCGCAATTTTTCTAAATAAACAGCAGATTCGTCCATTAGCATTGTGCTGGAAAAAGGAACACAAGTTGATTTGAGTTTGGCCAAAAACTTCATGTACTCAAATGCACAATTCAGTAGGGCTTCATCGGACAAAGTTGCTAGATAAAGACGGAACAAGAATCGATTGCGTTCCATAAACTTGGTCACTCCGATGCCTTGAACTTTTATTCTTCAATTTTTGCTCGTTTGGCGATCACTTGAGCAACGTGGCGAATGGTTTTCAGCTCACACGCTCTTTTGTAACTTTCACCTTCAATAATTTCATCATCATGTTCAATACAGATGCCAGTGCACTCGCCGCTGCTTGAGCGATTCATTTTCGGGTCGTAGAGGGAGCCTCAAGAATTGAGAGCGGCTCGTCCACTAGGTCCGCACCGTCACGGGGATTCGAGATTTTGTAAGACCCGGGGGAGCTCTCACTTCTTCGCAGCCCGTGTAAGAATGCCATTGTCGCGATCACGAATCCAATCTATTACTTCCACTTTCATCGAGTCATCAAATGCCTCCCGCTTCGACACTACGTAGTGGAGGCACTGCCAGCACACACCGCCACAGCGCTCTATCAAGGCGGCGTTTTATCAAGTTAGAGCGTAGCCCCCCATAATTGGCCGCACAATAATGAAAACTTAAGTAGAGCGAGTACGTTAATTTTATATCTGTTTCACCACATCTCATCATATTCTTCTCTGGGTATTATAAAGTGTTCACAATCAGACAGATGTGCAATGTCAATTTCGTACAATTGTGCGTAACATACATCCTTCCTGGTCTACATCTTCTTAGAAGAAGCGAGAACGCCACGACAACATAATCAAATGGAGGTATGTGACAGCCTAGTTTAACTATGTGACCCGTACAGCTACGTCAGGAGAAACAAACACCAGCTTATAATCATGCTTACATATCAAACGTTTTTTACTTAACTTAAGAAGTCTATCATTTTAACTTTCATTTTGTACTACGTAAAATACTCTTATGTAGAGTAGCACATACTTTTCAATACTCGGGTGCACGGCGCTCTTCAAGAGGAGGAGACTCGCTCCCGTCCGAAAATGTATCAAATCTCCGCTTTCGTCTAGCACGGATCACCGGTCCGCTGTTGCTGGTGTTACTCAATGATTTAAGCTTTCGATTCCTTAAATACGTGAGAGCATTGCGCAGCTGAATTTTTGTAGGCATCGGGTCCGGATAGAACGCGCCGTGTTGGTGCAATGCAACGAGTTTTTTGTAAATAGCCATAGGCTTAACCTCAGAGTCCTCGTATAGCATCTGCACAATGTGAGTTTTCATCCCTTCAGTCACATGAGTCTGCAAAGGCTCAGCCGATTCGTGTTCATCGCTCAAATGCTGATACGCCTGACAGATAATTCCAGCAAATGTCAGCTGACACGTGGACATGCGCACTTGCACGGGGCACAGACGTAGCAAACCATGTTCGTCTAGCTTATTACCTTTGGGATGACATAATGCAGAGGTGCATCTGGCCCACTGGACCTTCATTTTGTGTTCCGTATCAATGCCAAGATTTTCGTGCTTCATTGTGCAGTTGACAAGGTGTGTATTAATGATCGCGTTGCGCTTAAGTGATCGACGAAACTCGTTCAGCTCGACCTCACTCTTGGTCTCGCCAATGATATACCAGCCACCGTCGTCTGGATTGTGTAGCAGACGTCGAATATCCATTTTGAAAGCTGATTAGAAGAGTTGTCGGTTGAGAATTGACGCGTTCAATTATAAAATGAGCGATCGTAACACCAACAAATATGGTCGGACGCTCGTCACACTCGAAGCTCTAGTCAAACGCACTAGCGTCTCTTGCTTGTGACGAAACTTATGTTTCTCGCGTAGGTTACGAGCGAATGAAGCGGTGCCACTTGGCGATCGATTTCGTGATGAGGCGGCGTGAGCAAATAAATTTGTGGTAAATTGCTTGCCAAATAGACAGAAATCCAAAAAATGAAGAATTTCCCCACCGAAGAGCAAATTGTCGAACGCGCTCCGGGATGTGATGTGCAAAGAACACGAGTGCTCAGCTTTGGATTACCAGTTGACGGCAAATGCACCGCCTGTGCGCGTTTGAAGATAGTCTGATGACAGCAGCGTAGACAATCCACACTTTCGTTGTCGATCAAACTTTTACTGTAGCGATCTGCACATGTTGCCGTCTGCTTACATATACATGTGCTAACAATCAAATGATGAGAATTTTAAGCTTATGAGACTCCGCAGTTTTGAGCCCAACGGATTAAGAATCGCTTGCATTAAAAAAAAAATCCAGTTATCAGCCAAAGTGGTTTACGTTTGTGAATATTTGCTCGTTATCATGCGTAAGCACTGTTTAATGAAAACTAAAGGAATTAATCCACGTAAAATATCGATGAACGTTTCGATATTTTTGTTCACCAGTTGACCTTGGAAGAAAGAAGCTGAATAAATTAAGCGATTCTTCAAAGATGGGATCGCTATCTCGCGATAGCAACTACAATCTCGCGAGGCTCTGTAAATTGCTTTCTTCATGGCCGTTTTTCTTCATGTATGTTAGAAAGCAATTTCTGGAACAAACAGTGCGAGAAAAGAGCGAGTAGTTCTTACAACCTGATACGATATCGTCCATCCTCTGATCGGCAGTCAGATCCGGTGCTAAATCAGATGGTTGAAACTCTTGTATTTATAGTCGTCGGCGGTAATTAAGCAGCTTATGGAATAATTTCTTGAGGCTACATGAAAGTTTGGGTGGTAATGTGAGAAATACAATTCAGATCCCACGATTTGCTCGTGTGGTTGTGTGGAAAAAATCTGGTCGCCTGTTGGTAATTACCTCCATGCAGCGCTTAAGTGAGCACTACTACCAAAGTGTATTGTCGCAATGGTGTCATATATATTGTAGAGATGTTATTTGTGTAGAGAAGCTGTGCTGCACACTGATGAATGTGACATTCATGGACCTTGTTTGCCAAGGCTTTTTCGTGACAAGAAAAACATAAAAACGCCATAGCATAAATGACGATTAGTGCACCTGGGCGGGCAATCAGTATTTAAAAAGGCTCTGATTGCCAGCCAACCGTATCAGAAAACGAGGACTTTCAGAAAGGAGGGAGACATGGTGAATGGTAACCCCCTCCAGATTTGCTGCAGAGCATGTTTAACATCAATCTTCACTCATTCCCTAGTCCTTAATATATTTTTTTACGTGTCAGCCATTCGTCCTTCTGCAAGAGAAGACACAATTTTCCATGACTGCATATGGAAATCAGTGAATGGCCTATTGGGACAGTCCTTAATACGACTGTACTATCCCTCACGTACACTCGCGCCCAGATTGACTCGTGTAAAAGATTAACGTCAACAGTATGCTGTTAATGCTACTACGCATGCCAAATTTTGTTAAAACAAATTGAGAGAGAGACAGTTGATTTTCGGAGCATCTGGCCTAGAAGGCGCTGCAATCTTCTTGTGAGCGGGTTGTTGTGCTAGATAGCATGCACCTTTTAAGCTCGCAATAAAACAGACAAGTGCTTTTGCAACTCAGCAAAACTACCACTATCTTACAGTATAGCAGAGCTCATCTGTCAGTTCAATGGATGGATAGTGTAAAATGTCACAGTAACACCGAAATGAGAGGTTCAGCATTAATTCAGCATCGTTTCTTTCATCAATATAATTATTTGAATAACATATTTTTGTTTTCTATTTTATTGTTGATTTATCTGTATGGAAATATTGAGCTCGGTAATTTAAAATGATGTAAGGAAATAATAATATACTAAGTCAACAATATGAAATCCTGTACTTCCTCACTTTAAATGCTCGCTTGCAACTGCAACACAAGAGCATTTTCAGTCTGTTCGATTGCACGCTGCAGTACACGTTAAAACTGTATATCCTTCTGGATTTCTAGCTTAGTGATAGAGTTGCGTACCTGATGCAGCTGAATTAGCGACCTTAGCTCCTCAGCTGACAATCGTTCAAGGTACGATCCCTGCAGCTTACACAAACTAATTGAAGATAAAGAAAGAACTTTTAAACGTGAGTCATCGAATACAAATGAAGAAATACAGGTGGGAATCTTTTTCCAAACCGTGTTTTGAGATCAGCAAGTTCTTCTTGCAGCTCTGCTACATGACTGGAATTGGTATTTCTTAATGTCATTGTCAAACTACATTGCTAGTAGCTAGTGTGTCAGTATTAACAGCTCATCAGAAAGTAAATGTTTCACGCACCAGAGCAAAAAGTAGCCAAGCTATGGTGATGAAAATAACAAGTAATAGCGCACAGGATCGCAATATCGTAATGTCATGAAAGAATCTTGACATATCTGATGCTTTTTCTTCACACCTGTTCAACCTATTGATCATGAACCATAGGATTTAATTACAATATTTATGGCTTACCATTTTGTGTTTTCGTGTAGCAATCGACTCAGACGAAATGCCGATGGAGATCCTGAAAGCAGTGCTACAAATGCTAAAGATAATAGAGCCACTGCAGCGTGAAGCTTTGGCACCGTGAAGTTGTCAAATATCTAACATGATACTTCAAGTCACAAATTTTGTTGATTACCAGTCGTGACAACGAAAGCTCCGCTGTCGCACCATCCTCAACACACTTATATTGATCGTGCGGATACATTCGCATGAGGTCCCTTATAAGACCAAACAACACTCCAGTAAGAGACATTATCCATGGTGGTTTGTGATGTAAGTAAGGCTTCAGTAATATTGTAGAAACAGGCAAATATTCAGTGAGAAGGATATTTTAACAAGATGAAACATTCTTGTCGCCAGCGGTTGGAGCCAGCACTGTACGCGCACACTGAGCTGTCGAATGTTTCTGCTGACACGAACACATTTCCGGATCGTAGATTGATGGCATCTGCCCAGCACATTCCAGTCATAACTCCTAAGAGCATAACAACAAGAGCTTTTTCTCCACTTTTTTGTAAAGCAACCCAGCACATCAAAAGTACAGATTTCGTTGCGTCGATCCAATTTTTCTTTCGCGTTTCGGCCCTTCTAGCGTTTATTAATTGCTTGTTGCTTTGTCTTACGCGTACTTGAATAAAATCGCCGCTACTTTCCTTCTCGACAAAATACCGCGTTGTTGTCATCGCTGACGTCGAGAGCATATTTTCCTCGTCCAATTGTTGAAACATCTCATCAATAGCAGACGGTGATAAACTGATTGTACTATCACCATCACCTGAGTCTATATCAAGTTTTCCTTGTTCTGGTTCGTCGGCCTGTGTATCTGGTGAAACAGCTTGCGAATCATTCATCTGAGACTTTGCCTTCTTAGCTTTCAACTTCCACGGAATCTGCTCGTTATTGTATTATAGGTTTGATCTCGTCGTGAACCGTCACATAAGCCTCGAATCTCGAAATATGTTGAAAGATACGTGCTATGACTTTCCTTTGCTTCAAGATGAAGTGAGCTTCATCGTACAGGACGCTGTACGAACGGTTCTTGAAGGGAATGTGTACGACAATACGAAGGTGAACAATTTAAAGTTGTTAGGGGAAATGATCTGCTGACAACTTTTGCAATAGGCTAATGAATGGGTGAACTTGGTGACAACTGCGTGTATTGCAGACTTGAAGCGTCTTTGTCCGGTCAGATTTTCACGTTTGCGATATACTACGGAATATATCATGGTGATCCTAACCTTTTTACAACGGCAGAATTTCAAGTACATTGTATCGTGTTTTATTCGACAACGTAAAGGTGCAGGACTCGAAATCGGCAGGTAACGAACTACTTATCGTTTAAATGTGTCTGCACAGTTTATTTATCCTTTCGTATGTTAGTTGCACGTATTGGGACGATAGATCGGATGGTTCGTGTACAACTTGATACTGTAGCGATTTTTATCTTATCACTATCAATGCTAAAGGCTCTTGTACTGTGCTGTGGGAGAATGCTACCATTACTACGGTCCTTTATGTCTACGGCTTAGCAATATAACTTCTGGAAGTGAGGCATATATGAAGCGTGCGTGCTAGCTGTATAGAAAACTGCTTCTTGTTTTGCTAGATTGACATTCAAAATCTGGAGTTGTGATTTTGACTTAAACACGGATATCTATCGGTTGAAAGACCTTTTATGATTTTGTGTTATGACTGATTAACGGCACCTCTTAGGCTGTAAGTGCGGGTGTTTCTGCTGCAGAAAGCGTAGATGTAACGCTTTGCCGTGCTTGAATCTTAAGTGGATCGATCGCAACCAACCACGCTCGCATCTCAGCAGCTGTCGACGCCTGTAGCCACCATACTGTGCACTGCTTCATTGGATTCACGCACACAAGACGAAACGAGAACGGCACATCGGCCGAAGTTGCCACAATAAGCCGACAGAGTGATAAATCCATGACACCAGTCTGTTGTTTGCGTGCAAAACTCATATACGCATACAGAAATGGTCGCTTTAAGACAAACCATTGTCGTTCCCACGACACTTGGTGAGTACCAGCTTTTGGAGATCGCACTGTAGCACCTCCTAAAGGTGTTACAATCGCGGCCGCTGTCTCTTGATCAAAACATGATAGCGAAAGCATAAGAAATCCACTCATTTCACCTCCTAACTGATCGCCACCGATCAATTGCGTTGGTTCCGACACGAAATGAATAATGTGTTGTCTTAGCTGAAGTGAATCATCGACCACAAGGGACTTGTCCGATGAGTTTTCGACGGTCGTTACTGCTTCAGAATTCACGACTTTACCCGTAAAAAGGTTCATGAGAAGGTCAGCTCGCTTCTGGTAACGGAGATACAGATCAGGCGAGTCAAATTGTACGCATTCAAATGCACAAGCAACTTCGTCCTTTTTGTTGTCGAGCTCGCATAGACATGCATTCACTTTGGACGCTGTCAAAGGTTCAGAATTATCCTGACTTTTACCTGATGGTAAGTTCATGAAAGTCCACACTTTTTGCCGCAACCGTTCTAATTGCATCGTGTTCTCCAGTCGCAGCAAGCCATTGATGTGGTGAGCGACAACGTATTCACTGATTAAAGCTGCATCGTTGGATTCATTTGAAGAGTTGGAATCGTCGTCTTTAGGTACTTCTTCCACCATAAAGTCAGCAGCATACCATGTACCAAGTCGATAACTGCGACTGTAACTTTCTTTCGCCCACCACACGGTACGTGAAGCCTCCAAGTTGCGAGTAAATCTTTGAGCAGCTGAGACGTTGCTTCCACAGACCTTAGTCACCAAGCTTTTCGAGATCGCAATCGGTACTTTTGACCAGCGAGTTGTAAAAGCTATTGCAAGACGATATGTCGAACGAGTCCCAGCTGTGTTAATAGGCTCTAGGTCACTATCCGGAGCATGTTCCCAGCATAAAGTCGCACAGAGTGATCGACTTGAATCATTCACTCCACAGTCACCCCATAAATTAAGTTTTTTCCATTTGCTTGAGTCCAATTTGAGTGACTCATTCTCGTTCGAAGCACTTTCTTCGTGATGTGCAGATTTTGGTAGCATTCGTTGCGTTGTCTTGCCCATTACTCTTGACATTGAAGCCATTCGATTGACCGAAGGGGCGTCTGGAGCTGCAATGCGAACTTGAACGATCTTAGATAATGCAAAAGGCTGCTGATCCGATTGTATCACGCGCACGAGTATGCGTCGAGAGCGATTTGCATGAAGTCGTAGTGCACCATCAGGTTTTACAGCAACAGGATGATATAAACCGTCAGCTTCTCTTTCTTCGACATCGACAGAGACGTAAAATTCGACCTGCTGAGACTCCATTTGCGTCTGATCAACGAAATAATTCAACTTGACATCATAGCCCCAAATTTCTACCAGCAATGATTCGTTATTAGCAAATGATTGATAAGTCGGGTTTTTCTTCACGTTAATGGATGTATCGAAGGTATCATTGATCAAAAATGTCTTCTGATCGTTTTTCGCTTGCGTTGGGGGCACTCGGGGCGTCGAGAAGACCTTTGGCATGTCCTCTTCGTCAGATGAAACTTCGTTATGCTCGAAATTCCTCCTTTTAAATGCTTTTGACGCTGTCTCTTTGAGTGTGACGAAAATATTGGACGCAGAAACAAAACTCTTAGTGTCAAATTCCATCTTATCGAGATGCACTCGAATACGATGGAGCGAGTTCGTGGTATCTTTTGATGACAAAATGCCTCTCTTTTTACCTGGTTGAGCCGACCCCTGAATTGCCTCCAACCGCGTCTGAAGATTGCCAATAAAAGTTGCAGAAAAGTCGTAGACCGCGACAGATAAAGGCACAATTGATTGTAATTCTTGAGCTGGAAAATAAATCTGTCCATACCCGAGTAAACGTAGCGAAGACATTATTTGGGTTTGCGGTTTAACAAGAACTTGCTCAGTCGTTGCATGCTTTTCATTCTCGCATTTAACTTCAGTAACTGGTACATCACTTTCCGTAACAGCACCTGGTAGACGAAAAGCAGCAACTTTAGAAGGATCTACAGGAGCTTGTACATCCTGAATCATCGGACTTGTCTCGACAGTGTAAGACACGACATTTTCTAAAGAGGCGGCAAATTCTCGTAAGAATTGAAGTTTCATCTCGAACATCGTCCGATCCCACTGTATGGTGCTGCAGCAATATCCTTCAAGCCTTTTCCTGACAGTAACACTTCCTTCGGGTCCCACCGCAAATGTAGTATTAAGAACATACTTCGTACAAATTGCATTTGCTTCGTCTATCAGCACTTGGAGCTCGCGATTAAAGCCAATTTCTACTCCCAGCGGTTGCTCAACTGCCTCTGCGATTCGTGGCGTCGACGGTGCATATCCAGGCACTGAGTCACAAGCAAACACCTTAGTAACTAAGTATCCGACGAGCATTGAACATTAAAGCAACGTACCATGAATTCGAAAGCAATAGGGTTTGCCAAGCCGCACTTGGTCACCATGATGTAGTTTCATAGGCTGTTCTTTACCGAAGTCTAGAGACTCTCCATTGACTAGAACAATTGCTGTGGGATCTAGTGACTCAAGCTCCACAATGTATTCAGTCAAATTGTTTTCACTATTCGAGTCTTGTTCCTTCAGCACTCGTGTACAAGTAAATCGAGCATGTAGAGGTAATATTTGACTCACTTCGCCTCCAGGAAGTTTACAAATCTGCATCACCGATCGTTTGCCACTCGAAAGAGCTAAAACGATTTCAGCAGCACTGACTGGTTGAGAAGTTTTTCCTCTAGGAGTTGATGGAGCGCTCTTTGGATGATTTTTTCGACGTCGCAACATTGTTGAAGTCCATGATCCGCGTCGTTTTCTTGGCTTGTAAGGCATTTCGCTAATTTCGATCGACTGTTCATCATTTTCCATGTGGTCTGAAGCGACTTCAACAGCCTCGTATTTTGTCATGTCGGGGCTTGGATCAGACCCGAATAACGTTGTGCCCTCCACGAGAACATACGCAAGGGCTTCACCAGGTACCAAGTTGGCGCTTAAATTTACAAGACTCGGGAGGCTGTCGCTCAAATGAATGGCACAGCGTCCAGTACTTTCACTCACTGGCATCTGTTGTGAGCGAAAAAAATCAACCTCTTTCTGCAACTCGGCGTAAAATGATTCGTGCTCGACCAAACAAGCAGCAGTGCTGGAAGTTCTATGTTCTATGCTCGGATTAGCCTCATGTCGTGCCAGTTGCAATCGTAACTCTTCAATTTCATTGCGAAGCTGTCGTATGATTCGAGCATTCTTGTCTTCGTTTACAACTGCACGATTCATCACTTTTTTCGCGGACTCTGCATACCGCAACGTGCTCATTGTCTCGTCGTAATTCTTTGAGAGAAGAGTATTCATTAGTACGATATGAAAAATATAAACATACGTCAACTTACTTCTGAAGAAGGACTGATCATGGCAAGCATAGTTGTCTATCATATGGATACCATACAGTATCGATAAAAACATGTAGTTTCTACCGCAAGAACTTAGAACCAACCTTCGCGTTTCCTCCTAAACTTTCCTTTAACAGCCACGTAAGTGTGCTATCTCGATAAGGGATCCTGTCTGACGCTTGTCTGTACAGACAGTTTGTTTGCATTAGCACTATTATATAAATTTAGAGATAAAACATACTTGCTGAGGGCTGAGATGACACGTCCTAGCGTGGTGAGGCTTTTGTTAATCATAGCGCCCTCTTTCAACCGATCACCACTAGTACCCGACACATTCGCACGTTCGGAACCAGCAAGATCAATCATACTGATCTTTGAAGTCTATAAGCATTGGTAAGGAATCTGAGTAAGACTCTGGCCTTTTACAAGTTTCAATTCTACAACCTTTTCATTCGCGCACTGTGAAATTGGGTCGAACGATGTCTGAGTAAACGTAATCGTAAAAACGGCGTGTGAGCGTGATGACACAGCATTCATTAAAGTCGAAGCGACTGTCCGTAGCTTCTCTCCTGCAAGCATTTCGTCCGCAATGTCAGCATACGATGTCACTGACCGAATACTTAGTCCTTCCACAAATGGGCCTGTCACTGGATGTTCTCGCACTTTGAGTGCTCGTCGACTTTCCACGTCACTTTGAGTATGGTTCGCTAATGACGATCTTTGTTTCTCTGATATTTCTGTATCAAGCAGATCATTTACCTTTTCCTTGTATATCTCACAATAGCTCACATGAGCACTATAGATCGTTCTTTTCAATCCATCTTGATCGTGAAATATACTTTCACGCTCTCTTCGAGCTTCAATCTCTTGAAATAATGCTTCACATACTCTAGGAATGACCCCTTTCCCACTAGCAGTTTTATCACCAACCATTGTATGCGTCTTGCCACTACCCGTTTGACCGTATGCGAACATGGTACAATTAAATCCTTGAAATGCTGACTCGATCAATGATTGCCCCATTTCGTCAAAAATGAGTTCCTGATTAGGTCTCTGTTTCTCTTCATCCACATCATGGCCATTGAAGAAAGAACCAAAACACCGATCAAATTGAAACGTGCGGCATTCCCCGGTGACATTCGCTGCTGATATAAGTGAAGAACTCAATGCGGGACCACTTCCCCCCGAACCTGCCGCTTCAAGAACTGATGGATCCGAAAATATAGCAGGATTTACTACTTGAATTTGAGTACGACTGACGCCCACTACAATCGGCGTGTTAGCTTGCCGCTCTTTGTCATTAAGGGGGCGGGCGCGCACCACGACTTTAATGGCGCAAGGACCGTCGTCGTCCGTAGACGGACGAAGTGACGAGCGCTTGAGCATTTTCCAGTCAAAAGAAGGGAAGGCGATAGATCTTTTTCTGGACTGAGCGTGTAGTTTATTTACTACACACAAAGTAGTTGATGGAAGTACGTACGCCTCTTCATGAACATCTTGCGATTACTTCTAATGACTATGCTGGTATCGAACGTATCTATTCGTCAGAATTAGCGTCTTCTAAAATTATCATAACAACGTGCCGGGTTATACAACGAAAATAGCGACAACAAAGTCTGGATTTTTTTTTGTAAGTCAGATTATATGTAGAGATTTTGTTAGGTTTAATAACTTAATATAATCGATATATCAAACAAAAGAAATTTATTTTGGAATAGCTGACTGCATATAGCGGTGTCTTTAGTCTTTCAGTTCGTCTCGTAGCAACAATGATTACCAAGGTCGCGGAAGTAGCTAAACCTCTATGTGTCGGAAGGATGTTATGGGAGATATACCCACTGAAGTTGTAGCATGTCAAACATTAACATAAAGACAAAGTTTTGCTCGGGGACCGAGGCTTAGCATGAGTGCATGAACACCAACGACAAGTAAGATTGAAACGTGCAAATGATACTGCGGTAGGATTTGGCTGTTAAGGCTAAAGTGCACCTGATGGAGCTTCTTAGAGAGTGGTGGGGCCTACAGCCCAGGGCTGTTGATTGTTTTCATCAAGTACTCAGATCGTGGAAGGTTCTGATATTTTGAGAGCGTCTTGCCGGTACGTACGATGCGCAACTGTCGACAGCACACGGGCGCCTTGGTATAAAAGCGTCCTATGAGGGGAGACTGATAAAATTGTCGAATAATCGTTGAAATTTATCATTAGAGCTAAAAACAGCTCGAGGTGCTGTTCACGTAAGTTTGCGATACGATCTTACCAAGTATGGCATGACCGAGCCAGGCTGGAAATCGAAGAATCGAACACTTCTCGCTTAGCGGAGTTTTGGTGAGTCGTGTACCCACCACTGCCAGGATACTGAGCGCTTTGGCGCTTATAGGAATTAATTTTGGCCGAATTATATATTGCTAAACACCTTGAGCTAGGCACGAAGGGCGGGAGCGGCTGTGGGTCGCAATCTCCAGATGAGCGCGGAGGTATCGAGTATTGTGCGGTTTCCGGAGTGTGTCCTTATTCATCACAGCTGTATGGTAAAATTTTAACCCGAGTGCATGTGGATTGAATAAGAGCAGCTGTATGTTGCGGTCGCGAGTTGACTGTAGGTCGCGAGTTGAACAGCCAGGATTTAATGCTATTAAGGATACATTATCGTTGCCTCGATGCGTAACCGTACTGATGACTCGGCCTTTCGTGTGGATCAGTGAAGCTCCCGTAGGGGTGGTGGCTAGAACGATTATCTGCTCATGAATGAAGTGACTGCGTATCTCATGACTTGCAAGTCTCGCCTCATTAGGCTCTCGTCAAGTCGGAAGGGCTAAGATGTGCAAGCAACTGCATCACCAAGTTGGCAAGTGAAATACTGAGCTCATGATCGAGTGATTTTGAGTTTTTGTCTGACAATGTCCGTTGTTGAGAATACTGGGTGTGGAGAGTGGGGCATTTATCCTCAAAGATCCTTTGCAATCTTGAAGGAATCTCATGACGTAGTGCCAAAAGACCCGCCATAGGTTTTGCCCTTGGATCGAAAGGTTTGTCAAATTGATACGTTAGTCCAAGCGTATCATTTTTGTACAAACCTTGTTGCGTAATTATTGTGTACGTTTTTATGACAGCATTGACACTTAATGTCGTGTGAAGATTCGCTTAAAGGATAGAAATACTCGGCGCCAAAAGTCTGTATCAGAAGGCCTAATACCGCTTGCTGTTAGACAAATTGCTGTTAGATCTTCTGATACGACGTTAGACACCATCTGCAGGCTTAAAGTAAGCATAACAAAGCTGTGATTCTTGCATTATTAACTATTTTTAGAAAAGACCTGCACATAATAGTCAGTCTTACCATGCATGTTCAATTCTCTTTTTTGGATAGTAGGTTGATGTTGTAACTGCCATGAGAGACAGTGCCAATCTATTGCATTAAATACGCCGAACAAGATGCTCTGAGAGTATTGCTGAGCCTTAAGGGCTACCTACAACTGCGATGCCCAACCGTCAGGCCGCATCATGCATACGCACATACCTGTTCAAACGATTTCTATCCAGGCACGAGTAATCAGATGTGGACATCCACGATAGAATGTTGCGAATAGCAAATGCGCTTCGATAATGCCTCGCTGAGGAGCGAGATGATGGCGACACGAGATTGGTCAATGTCAACAACCAAAAGAAACTGAAGGAAGTGTTTTAGTATGGCCAACTTCTTACTGCAATTCATACCGAAATGGTACGGTCCTTCAGGATCCGGATCGGTCATTTTATGTTGTCTGCGACGCTTCGAACGTTGTCATAAACTGTTCTCCGATACGATTCAATGGGCATGAGCGCATCATTGAGATCGATTATTGTCAGTCTAAAGCAGAAGATAGGTTGAACAAAGTCATGACAAGGCGATACTTGCTATGTAGATGTTTCTTGCCCAGTTCATGGTACACCTGCTGGTCGCTATGACATTTGTGATTTATACAGATCATTCGTCGTCGCGCCAAGAGACGCCATAACCACATCTCTGTCAGAAAAAAGCAAGATGTTTATCCTCATATCTTCCAGGTAGCGTATAAGCCAGGCTAGCTGAATGTGGTGACGGATGTGCTTTCCTGTCGCCCGTACTAAGAAGTGTTCGATGTTATGATGGTGGCGACGTGCACAAGCAAGGCGAGAAGTACGACTAACAGGTCAGACGCGACATGTGGTGCATTGTTGAATTCTTTAGTAAGCAAGGATACTTTTGAGCCTTACGAAGCACGATATGACATTAATCCCGAGGTTTTTTGTGTTACAGCACTTCCGACTCGATTGTCAACGTCTGGTGATAGATACCCTATTGTGGTAGTAGGTGACCATCTTAAAAAAGGTAAGACATGCGATTCTGCGAGGAATATATACCTGTGGGCTCAGTATATGTAATCGGGTAAGCACGCGCGAATAATGTCGACAGAGTTAACTCTTGCCGTACGCCGGATACAGTCTATCAGTATAAATTTTTCTGGTCTACTAAAAAATATAACCCTGGCTTCGTGATCTTTGGACCATCTGAGCAAGTTGGCCTAAATCGCTGCTGTCAGCGACACTGTTGCCGGTGAGGATACCATTTACAGGCTAGATGTATCATGACAAATGTTTTTTGTTTTCACAGCTCGCCGGTGACCATAGCTCCAGATCAATATCGTTTTTCGCAGCAAAATTACCGCGCATTTGTTCTGGGGGCTTGGTACCGAATCAAACATACCAACTATTGAGAACCCGCAGGCAGATGGTCAGACAGAAAGCATTGATCGCAGGGTGAGTGAGAATTCAAAAGCACCTTTATGGTGATATCGCGGTACAGGAGAGGAATGTTAGCATTTGGATCTTGCATTGAATAAATCAGCGCATGCCTCATAGATTGCGCCTGGTTCTTTATCACTGATATGTGAGATCCCGCCGCGAAGTAGCTTCGTTTTTGGTGAAAAAGCGGCTGTCAATTTGATTTGACTTGCTAATAGCACCTTATACCAAAATTGAAGAATTCATCTCGTCGAAATTGAGTGCCATGCGTCCAGTTTGCGACATTAATATTGAAAGTTAGGATGTGCAGTAGATGGTAGAGGCAGATGATTCACACATAAAATGATGCGGGTGAAAAGTTTGATACTACGCTAAAACATACCCGGGGCAGCAATAAGGACTGAAACAGTTAAGGAGCCTATAATATTTTGTAAGAAAATGGTGTGGCTCACTGATTGCATCACACATTGCCTCACGTCAGTTTCGACTATTCTCGAAAGAGTCAAATTGTCAGCACCATCGAGACAGCTGACAAAAGCAAGATTTCCCGCCGCTAACATTAATCGATGTGTAAAAGGTAAGAACCTGTGTTTGAAATTGAAATTCGGCCGATGGGTTCACTAGAACGGGGTTATACGTGCCCTCGTAAGAACGAGCGGGTCGCACAAACTTAGGCAACCCAGTAAGTGTAGCTACACCGTAACCATCACGTGGCAGGATTGCCATTAGTAGTGCATATTACTATATTAGTTAGATTTTGCTATATTAATTAGGTATATTAATAAAGATAACCTAGGGTTTTAGATGTCGGTGGCTCTGCAGCAACTAAAACAATTAAAAACAGTTTCTATTTTGAACCGAAGTGTTCGTTTGCCTTGGGTAAGGCTTTAGTACTCGGAGGTGGCGGATTGCAATCCGCTATACTCTTACTGGCTCTTGGAAAAACCGGAAGGTCGGCGACCTTAGCTTACGGCAGCCCCGCTGCACTTGGTGGCACTTATTGGTCATGGTACGACTGCGGCGTTACGACCGATCTTCTGTGGGGATAGAGGAATACTCCTATTTGCCCCAGGGCATGCAGGACGGGCTCAATAAGCTGATGTCCCTGCTGGACCCTGAGGGCGTGGACCACCTCGTTGCGCAAGGGCTCGAGGCCATAAGCTCGCGCCTAGTGGCGTTTTCAAGTAATGAAAATACTCTGTCAAAGCACTTACAGGAGAAGCCGTCAGCGTAGATTGCGTCTGTGACCGTCGACGACGGATGATTCCTTCCCACCCAAGCCGCTCATGGTGGACCTTAAAACCTTTGAGGGTAAGAATGAAGAGAAACTCCTTCTCTGGCTATGTCATCCGCCATGCTCCAATACGAGCAACAGCTCGTGGCGCTAGCTATCTACAATCTCGGGGGCCGAGCGCGAGAATGAGCACTAACGTGCGGTGCTTCGGTTGAAGCTGCCTTCCCCTCCTGGAAGGAGCAGAACGTCAGCTTCTGCGTATGTTCTCGCCGCCTAATCAGGCATATCGACTGAGATCACGTCTCCGTGCTGCTCGACAGGGCAAGAAGGAGTTGGTGGACTTCGTTCAAATGTTGAGTACTCTTTTTGCCGGGATGGTAGTAGATCCTCTCCCCAAGGCGGTCGCAGTGACCGTCTTTATGGAGGGCCTCCGCACTGGCACGGCCAGAATGGAAGTCTTTCATCTTCTTTTGAAGAAGCGGTGAGCGTGGCATTAAATGCCAAATTTAGCATCAAGTCGGCACGACTTAGTAAGAATGAACACCCTCAGAGCTCGTCGAGCAGACCTGAGCCAATGGATCTCAGCTATGCTGAGAAAGAGGAGGGAGAGCTTCGAGCTGCTGAGCAGCGTGTAAACACCTGACGGTGTTTTGTTTGTGGAGATAACCGTCACCTTCGGACGATTTGTGCGCAAGGCGCGTAAAGGTTCAACAAGCCAACATCTCCTTTCTAACCAATCTGCGCCAAAGCAGATTGTTTAGTATGCACGGGGTGCCCTTCTGGGGAGAAATGAGTTCTGCTGAGCCTCAAAGAAGTAGAGGGCAGCAGAGCCCAACCCCAAAGAGCCCCGAGCTCTTGAACACAGAAAGGGTGTGCAAGCCGGGCTTGCTGGTCGTAGAAGCGACCGTGAGGGCTTTGATAAATCATGGAGAATTCTTATCGATTATGTTAGGTCGGACAATAATTCTCGACACTCCACGATCAACGGAAGTCAGATGTATGCTGATGTGCTGAAACCGACACCGTCACTGTTCGCTTAGCGACGGGGGCTTGTGTCACTGTGCCGAGGGTTTCCGTGTGGAAATGGCACGTAACCCACTGAGCGCTGCTCAAGTATTGGAGCAGTCGCTGCATGCCAAGATGACATGATCGGCCAAGGGCCGAGGCATCAAGGGTGAAACCCTTGTGATGCACGTCGAGTAGCACAACCCACTGAGCACTGCTCACGCTACGAAGCAGTTGCTGCGTGACAAGAAAGGCATGGTCAGTCGAGGTCCGAGGAACCAAGGGCGAGGCCCTTGTGATGCGCGTGGATTGGCACGTATTCCATTGAGCACTGTTCACGTTTCAAAGCAGTTGCTGCACGCCAAGAGTGGCATGGTCGGACGAGGTCCGAGGCATCCCGAGCAAGGCCCTTCTGATGCGCGTGGAGTGGCACATTATCTACTAGACGAAGACTGCGGAAATAGCAGCACTTCGTCGGATGTTGTTAATGACATCACGGCTTCGATGGAGCTGGAAGTGGGGACCACGGACGACGCTGAGTGCGTGCTCCCACTGGTCTCGATGAGAAGTAAATTTTCTATCGAGAGGAGACAGCGAAGCCGTATGATATCTGCAAGACGCAGGATGTCGACCCTGACCCAGAATGTGTCTACCGTAGACAATAACGCACAGTCATATACCCTTGTCAACGGTATGACGGGAGTGAAAGACGAGGACGTCATCTTCGAGGCATTCCCGCGGTGGATGCTCTTCTTGAGCTGCGCGAGATATCCTTCGAAGGGTGTGTGATGCCTTGAAGGCAGGTAATTTAGCCGAGGTTGTCATTATACAACCGAACGTGGAGATTTACTTGCTGTCGCTTCTGGATGAAGCTGTCCTGGAGGACACTAAGACACGGTTCTGCTAGAAGTGGATTGTCGATACTGAAGGATCCCTCGGATCCGTACTATTCTTTCGTTAAGGAATTCCAAGACTCCAAAGACCCGCATCTCCGGACCAAGGTGTATTGACCTGGTTCCGGGAACCAGATGCTACGTAATACTCCAATGGTCCCTGCCCAACGAGCAGTGTGACATCATTGGCGCTTTTCGTTCTGCGAAGCACGAAGCAGGAATGGTGCGTGAGAGCAAGTTTCTCATTCGACACTCGCAAGTAGCGTATCGTTCACGCTTATAGTAAGCTAGACCCAGACTATCCCGCTCGGAGTACTCACCGCTGTCAGCGAAATATTACTCGCTCTCACGAGCAATTGGTGAAAACCATCGACCAAGTCAAAAGCGCTGCACTTTTTACAGCCAACCATACTGTTCTGAAGAACATTCTTTTGTAGAATCGGTGTTTGTG